GGTGGTCCTGGTCACCAGGCAGTGCCACAGACCCCAGACCCTAAACCACTGCCCTGCAGGGCCCAGCTACCCAGATCCCAGCCCCCAAAATGCCACCCCGGTGGTCCTGGTCACCAGGCAGTGCCACAGACCACAGACCCTAAACCACTGCCCTGTGGGGCCCGGCTGCCAAGACCCCAGCCCCCAAAATGCCACCCTGGTGATCCTGGTCACTGAGCAGTGCTACGGACCTCACACCCCAAACCACTACCCCGGGTGTCCTAGCACCAGCTCTGCACTACAGACCCTGGACCCCAAAATGCCACCCTGATGGTCCCTCCTGCTGAGTACCCGCACCCCAAAACCAACACCCCCCACCCAGGCCCCATGTGCCCACCTGGGGGTGTGAGGGGGTCCTGCAAGTGCAGCAGCCCCCAGTTGGGTGCGGGGCCCTGGTGCAGCTCGAAGGTGCTGCAGGGGCGGCCCAGTAAGGGTTCCAGGCGTGGCTCCAGCATGCCCGGGGGGGGCCTGGGGGCTCAGCAGCTGGGTGGGGGTCTGGGGGTCCCAGCCCCCCAGCAGCAGGTGGGAGGGGTCCCAAGGGGGAGCCCGGCACACCCCCAGATTGACCCCCCCCAGCTGGTGGGTGCCTCGGGCCAGGATGTTCTCAGCATCTGCATGAGGGGGCACGGTGTCACTGGGGGGCACAGCACCCCAGCCTACCCCCACCAGGACCCCATCCCAGTGGGGACTGGGGACCCACCGCCCCCCATCACACTGCTCCCAGTGGGGATTATGGACATCCTGTCCCCCATCCCAGTGCTCCCAGTGAGGATTTGGGACATGCCGCCCCCTATCCCAGTACTGCCAGTGCCACCCCCTGCCTAATTTCCCACTCATCCCAGTGAATCAGTGGGGAATGGGGAACCCTCCACCCCAGTGCTCCCAATGGACATTGGAACACTCCACACACCATCCCAGCAGGGACTGGGAACCCCCCTGGCCCATCCCAGCTCTCACCCTGGGAACTCTCGAAGGTGAGAAAGAGGAGGGGGCCGAGGTGCTGGCAGCTCCGCACCGCTGTCCCCGCCAGCCCCGGCTCTGTGCTCCGGCCGCGGTGCCTCCTCTCGGCTGGCTCCCCTCCTCTCCCCCCCCGCCCCGCCCCCCCCCCTTCCAGCACCGTCTCCTCCAGCACCGGGCCCCCCTCTGCCATCCTGCCGGCACACACGCATTGGGGTGGGGGAGTCATCCCCTTCGAGGTGCTCCCCCAAGCGCGTCCCCCCGGAACAAGGACCAGTCCACACCCACGCGAGACCCCAAGTCCCACGTGCAGCCTTCCATCCCCGGACCAAGGACCCTCTGGCGCCCCCACACTCATTCCAGGCCAGATTAGCCCCCTGCCGTGGGGCAGGACCGCCCACCCAGGCCCACACCTCCGCGGCTGGA